AGAGCAATCCCTGTTCTTGACGGGATTACTTAAAGATGCCAACTTTCAGGGCAGAATCCTCTACTGCCATAGGGCATCACTGTGCACTCTGACCCCACATCCCATAATGTCACCGTTCAAACTGAACGGAAACTTGTACCGAGTGGAGCTCATTCACCCTAGACTTAAACGCCTACTGATGTGACACATCCGCACCATCTGCTACAGGACACTGAGGAGACCAAGGAAAATTACCTGGCTTCCTCCAAACACAAGCAGCTATTTCCCTGATGGTAACAGGAATCCCTTGGTGGGATTCTACCTCACTCCCCACCCTATACCACAAAGAAAACATGGGAGATCTGCTGAAGTTGATATTTCATTCTCATGTGAAATACTAACTTCTCCTCTTCTCAGAAAATAAGAGCATGTAATGCATTGGATGGAGGGAATAAAGGAACCAAGGAAGACAGGCCGGTCATGTGTGAGACAAGTGAAATCAAACACTCTGCACATTTTTGGGTTACAGCCACAAAACTTACGATGTTCTTGAAGGTGTTTGGCCAGTAGATAGGCATTTGCCTCAGCCCGAAGAAGTCGCTTCTTCAAGCCTTTTAGCTCCCGCTGGCATTCTGCCAACTGGGAGCACGATTCCTCCTTGGTCTCTACCATGTTATTTTTTATTCCCTGATCGGATGGAGGATTCAGATTCAGTGCCATAGTGATGTTAAAGGCGACACAAGTAGAGCCAAGGACTAGAGAGAAGAGACATAAGCCAAGAATTAGTCAAATCAAGTGAAACCACTTTCATTAAGACTGAGAGGTGACAGTAACTGTAGTTCCCAACTTACGGTTATGGAATCGCCCACAACTATTAAAAGCTGTGAAATCTCAAATCAGTCGGTTGTCAGAGCAAAGAGCACAAGCTCCTGCCAGTCGCCCAACCTCTGAAAGAGTGAGAGTACCCTGCCAGGTAACTCGACAGTTACCTCCATGGAATCAGAACACGGGCGATGTCACAGAACCTCAGGAACCAATGCCCTCCAACTGCCTCAGCCTGGCCGACAAGGCTTCCTGATTTCTCTTAAAGGTCCCTGCAGACGAGGCCACCCAGTCTCCCACAGCCACAGGCTGTACCGCTGTGCTGATACTTTAGTCCTGCCACGTGTCCAGACCTCTAAACGTGTGTCACGTCACTGATGCCTCTGCGTCAGTGAAACTCTAAGGCAGACTTAGTTTCCTGACAACTTTGACTTGAAGGACTCTCAGAAAGTCCCTCCCTCCTTATCTTTAGGTCCAAACACATCACAAGACCTTCCCACCACTGAGGATGTGGAAGGAAAAATTGCCCCAATTTTGTTTTCAGATCTTCTGCTGTTTTTCCTATAGCCATTAATATGTTAGAACCAAAAGAAGAGCTGAACACTAAATGAAGGATTCATTTTAAAGCTGCTTAGGCCTGGCCTCCATAGACTTGCTGTGCTCAGGGGGCAGTGGGTTTCCACTGACAGGGGCGCCTCTCAGGCATTTCATTCGACTGAGAACCAGTAAGATGCTCCTGTACTTCAGTCACTGCGGTGGTCTGGTCTCTTTTGCTGCATAGTTAACATCACCCAACATGAAATTTCATACTTGTCTTGTGGGCTTCATTTGTGTACCCAAAGGGATGTTTTAGGATATCAAGAGATTCATACGGCTGATTTATAACCATTAAATATATAGTATGACAGTTTATCTGGGTAGACTTACAAAGCTGATGTGACTTTCTTCCTTCCTTCCTCTTTCTTCTTTAAAGATTTATTTATTTTTATCAGGGCCCAGCAGCGTGGCCTAGCAGCTAAAGTCCTCACCTTGAACACCCCGGGATCCCATATGGGCGCCGGTTCTAATCCTGGCAGCTCTACTTCCCATCCAGCTCCCTGCTTGTGGCCTGGGAAAGCAGAGGAAGACAGCCCAACCTTGGGACCCTGCACCCACATGGGAGACCCGGAAGAAGTCCCTGGCTCCTGGCTTCAGATCGGCATAGCACCGGCCGTTGCGCTTACTTGGGGAGTGAATCATCGGACGGAAGATCTTCCTCTCTGTATATCCGCCTTTCCAATACAAAAATAATAAAAATAAATCTTAAAAAAAAAAAAAAGAAGCTGACCTTCCACCTGTAGCGCTGGCATCACATATCTGCCCAAGTCCCAGCGGCTCAATTCCCTTTACAAAAAATTTAAATATTATTCACATAATTGAGATGGATGCCTGCCCATGTGGGCCTTTGATTAGCACGGGGAGGTTCAGCTATAGAGGAAGGTGGATGGGACAAATGTTTCAGTCTTTTTCTTTTCTCCTGTGTCTGTCCAGCTGCTTCACTTCTGATCTAACTCCCTGCTTCCGACCTAGAAAGGCAGCAGAGGATGGCCCAAGACCTTGGACCCTTGCACCCACGTGAGAAACCCAGAAAGAAGTTCCTGGCTTCTGGCTTTGGATTGGCTCAGTTCTGGCCATGGGCAAGTGAACCAGCGGATGGAAAATCTGCCTTTCAATAAGAATAAAATCTTGAAAACAAAAGCCACTGCACTCTTGACCCCTGCAGCTGGCCAAGAAAGAGGCCATGTTTCAGAGCCCTGAAAGATCCAGCCATGTTCCAGAGCCCTGAAAGAAAGGAGGGGAGCCAGGCAGGAAGGGGACTGAGCGGTGGCTGTTGCTTCTCCCTCATCCCTGTGACAGGAGCTGAGAAGAGCAGGGCTGTCCTTTGTGACGCATCAGCAGGAAGAGATGTGCATACCCAAGGCCCACAGTGGTCGTGGTGGCAGGTGGGCCCGACACAAAGCCACTGTGCAGCACCTCCTGCCGTGGGGCGAGTGGGTCTGCTGGAGGCTCCAACAGCTAAGCAGCCCATGGTGGCAAAGGTAAGCCTCTGCACCGTGCTTGGCAGGGCACCGCTTACGCCTCTGTGTCTCCCCATGCAGACATTCACTGGGGTCTTACCACATTGCGAAGCAAAGAGTGGTACTGCCGTCCCCACGACACAGGTTAGACCATGGTCAGGGCACAGCAGAGGCTGGCCCATGCGCTCCTGTTGCAGAGTGGCCTCCTGGCATCCTGCCCCTCGGGGATGGACTGCGTCCCCAAGCTCTGGCTGGCCTGCCCACACACGCTTGGTGAGGAGTGGGGAACTGGGTTCTGCGTGGAGGAGCCCTGATCCAGAGAAGTCCCTGCAGGAGGAACTCTGCTGTGCCTTAGGTGTGGCCACAACCTTCCCCTGAAGGTCAATCCTTAGCGAGTGACGAGAGCGGAGGTGGAAGCTCCCAGCTACACCCCAGGAACCAGGTCTCACACCAGCGAACGAACGTCAAGAGAACGTTTATTCCACCTGATCAGCTCCAGCAGGTGTCAGAAACATCCAGGCCAACCATGTACATGTGTGCCTGGGCAGTTACGGGGAGGGGTCCCTTCTGCCTCCACTGCCCCCCGAAATACAGAACCTGAGGCAGCTGATGGCCTTTAGTGACCCAGGGAAGCCAGCTCACAGCCCAAACACTCCTATTGGTTAATTCCCAGCCCTCTCCCTTTGCGCACCTCTCATCCCCCTCCCCACACCACACACACATACAACCTTGAGCATTTGACTCATCATTACAGGCAAGTGTTTCCTGAGTGTCAGGAGCCGTGTACTAGAGCCACACTGAATCCATTTTGAATATAGACCTATGGGACAGTGGAAAACCCCCGGTTGGCTAGATGCTTGGGAAAGAGGTTATGAAACTAATTACACGCTTAGCTTCAATTGTTTGTAGCAACTGTTTCAGAATGTGATTTATGCTGCACCTGCCGACATCCTGCTACTGGTAACCTACACTATTGTTGATATATGGTGGTTACTATTGTTGATATGGTGGCTGCTCAAGAACAATCGGTCTTGAGACCATGGCTTGCGTCCCAATTTCTCCTTTCCTCCCTGAGCCTTAGTTACTGAAGAATATAAAAACCCACAGTTGAAATCAATAAACTGACAGCTTGATCAGACATCCTGTCTTCCTGTCCATTCTTCATGTCTCTTGTCCAGTCATTCTCTCCTAGGTTGGTTGCGACTCCCGCTGACTGTCCTGCTGGATGGGACACCTGAGAGTTTGGAGCCCAGTCCTGTGCTAGACCCGATTGGAGTTCAAAAAGAAATGGCATGGTCCCTTGCCCTCAGAGAACTCACAGTCTAGTTGGGTACCACTGACAGACACAGGCACCTGGCAGCTTATACAAGACAGCCCGTTCTACTGCAGGGTGAGATGGTGTGTTAACACAGGTACCGTGGGAAGGGAGGAGGCATGTGAGCTGAGCGGGTTGAACTGCCAGGGCTGGTGGCTTAGTTGAGGGGGTGGGGAGAGACAGGGAGAGATCTCAGAGCAATACAGGGGAAGACACAGAGGGAGGACCAAGCACGGCTCCAGGCAGGGACGAGACAGCTGAATAAAGCAGAGAAGAGGTCGGGGATGGGGGTATGAGGTTTCTCCTGGCCTGGCCAAGGAGGGAGCCAGAGTGGAAGCTCACGGGGCACATGGAGTGCCTGCTCTTTGTCCAACACTCCCCTGAATGTTCTGCCACCCCTGGGTGCCTGGCAGAGCCCTTCCCTGCTGCCGGCCCAAGACTCACCCTCTGCTTGCCAGACAGTACACTAGGGGAATACACACACAGCTCTCCCGGGCCTCTCTCCCAGAGCCACAGTCACCAGGAGTTCCCCCTCAGGACACCTGCCAGGGCTGACCACAGCTGACCAGCTGTAATATGTGGAAGCAAAATTCCTTCATGCCCATGTAAACCCAGACCACACTCCGGTTCCTGCTGCTGCCCACAGCAATCTGCTTTCCTTGGAAGAGAGGCCCGGGCCAGGAGCTTAGGGTGCCGCAATGGAAAACAACAGCCAGTTAGGCAGAACAACACACAAAGCTGCCCAGAGAACCCCCACAATGTCTGCAGAGAAGTGTGAAGTCAGAAGCCCAGCTCATTTTGAGTCTTGCAGAAGGGATTAACCAATCTGTCTTCAGCATTATTTATTCCGGAACAAAGGCAAGAGACTTGGCCAGGAGGGGGAGAAATGCTGATGTGGACTGGGTGGGGGCCCCATTCAGGCCTCTGTGAACAGCGGCTAAGGACAGGGCAGCAGTCAGCCCCAGGGCTAAGGCTCTGTGCCCTTGAAGTCCTCGAGTGGGAGTCACCCCAGAAACTGTGTCTGTGTGAGTCTGCATGCTTTCCTGGGGAGAAGGCCCGTGGCTTGGTCAGATTCCCAGGGACTGCATGACCCCACTGTTCAGAAGACGGATGTCTGCAGGTGTCGGTCACATCTCAGGAAGAGCCAGTGGGGCCAGCCACCACAGTGCCACGTGGCACAGCAGGCAGGAGCAGAGAGGCCAGTTCACTGTACCGCCACGGCCAGGCAGCCAGGCAGCCAGGCACTGTGGCTGCCACTTCCAGCAGACTGACATTTAGCATCTGAGCTCCGTCCACCTCCCGAGGTAGGGCTGTTTGGGGTTGTGTCCGCACGCCAGGAAGCAGCTCCAGACAGGTTCCTAGGAGAACCCAGTTCCTGTCTCAGCGCCAGATGTGTCTGCACCTCCGGGTCCCGAGGCACACCCCACTGTGCATCTGTTAGCAAGAGATGAAAAAGATCAGGGCCAAGTCTCAAGCCGTGGCCTGGTTCTGCCCACAGCCACCAAGCTAGGAAGGAGCAGAGCCTGTCCAAGGTCAGAGCACGTCCCCTTTGCTGCCAGCAAGCACTGCAAGGGTGACCAACAGTCACAGGTGACACTAAGCGCTCGGGGCCTTCTGGTGGTGGCCAGCTCCAGATGGCCCAAGACCCTGTTTAATCTCAGGTTCCATGCCAAGCAGCACTGGTCCAGGGCAGCAAGCAAGGGACAGCCAATTCAGTGCAGCATCCAGGAAAGGAGGGGGCTCTAGGGCAGGAGCAAGGGCAGAGCATGCTTCTACCCAGACCACCACGAGAGGTGCCATGTCCCATCCAGGTACCCATACCATGACCCCCCCCATCCCCAACCCCCAGAGTTCTCCGGTTACTTGGCCAAATCCTCCCAGATCATTTTGGCAGTTATTTAACAGCCAATCTGCAGGTTTTCCCAGTCTGGCATCCCTAACAAAGCCCAGGCTTCACCCAGGAGCACCGATTTGGGTCAGCCCCAGTAGTCCCTGTGGTCCAGGTGGCTGACAGAACCACGCCTTGGAGCACCTGCTTGCAATCAGAGGTCCTGAGGCCACACCGCGCCCTTCCCCCCACCTCTCCATGGGATGACCTCAAGCCCATCAAGGCTGCTTCCATCTGTCCTCAAAGGGCCTCCAGTCCTTCCAAGGCCCAAGGTGAGACCATCACGCTGCCTTTGTTAACCTGGGATGCCTCTCCTCCCAGCCACAAAGTCCTGTAGAGCCCCCCACCACGTCAACCGCCTGCTTGTTCTCATCCCCAGGGCAGTTCAGAGCCATCCAACCCCCTGGGATAAGCCAGCCGCTTCCTCATCCTGCGGGATCCTCATCCGTGCCAAGAGTCAAGCGCGCACGGTTAAGTGGCCAGCAGGGGGAGCTCAGCACAAGTTTTGGGGGACCCTTGTGACATCACCCTCCCTAAGTCACAGCAATTACAATTACACATGGTCCCAACCTACAGATGAACAAACTGAGACATGAAGTGACATGACTTCTCAAGGACACCAGAGAATGAGTGCAGGAGCCAGGAGGCCTGGGGTGGGGAGGGTGGAGGTTGGGCCTGGGGGTTGTAGAAAGCCGCCTGGCCAAGTCACTTCCAACTCTTGAGAATGAAGATCAGATAAGCAGCTAGTTACAAACAGTGCTCCACCCCAGGTGAGTTCCAGCACCTCATCCCTGCATCTGACGTCACACCAGCCGCCACCCCAACCCCCCAATTTCCTGCCAAGCCCCCAAGCTGGGCTCTGGCTCACCTGCTTTAGGCAGCAGGAGCCTGAGCAGGGAAGCCAAGGCAAGGTCCAAAGCAGTCATGTGCAGACAGCCGCAGGGTCCTGGGGCAGGAACGGAAGCAGAGGGTCCGGGATCCCTGCAGAACCCAAGCCAGTCCTTTCCCTCCTCTGCAAACCTTGCCAGGACAGGGGCCATCTCCCAGCGCCAAATCCAGGCATCCAGGACGAGGCTCCGGGACAGGACCTGTCCTGTGTGCATCATAGCACACGGCCTAAATGGGCCGCTTGGCCCTCGGGCCCATGGCCGTGACTGCGCTGGTGGGTCTTGAGTGAGCCCTCGCGCGCGAAGCTCTTGCCGCAGCGCGGGCAGAAGAAGGGCCGCCGCTCCCCAAAGACGCCGGGGCGCCGCGGGTGCGGTGCAGGCATGCGCGCGTGCGTGCGCTCGTGGTTGAGCAGGAAGCGAGGCTCGCGGAAGCAGCGGCCGCACTGTGCGCACTGGTGCGGCTTCTCGCCGCTGTGGATGCGTTGGTGCGTGAGCAGGTTCTGCTTGAGGCTGAAGCAGCGGCCGCATTCGGGACACGGGAAGGGGCGCTCCCCTGTGTGCGTGCGCTGATGGACCTCGAGGTTGTGCTTGACGCTGAAGGCCTTGCCGCACTCGGGGCACACGAAGGCGGCCGAGCGGCCCGCCCCGGCGTGTGCCTTCTGGTGCCGCACCAGGCTGAGCTGCTGCGAGAAGGTCTGGCCGCACAGCGGGCAGCGGTGGGGCTCCTCTTCCGCCGGGTGGTGGATAACCAGGCCTCGCTCGTCCCCCAGGCCCTCCTCCCCGTCCCCCGCGGGGGACCTGTCCCCGGAGGATGCCAGCTCGGTCATGGGCCCTTCCAGCTGCTATCACCAGCCCCTGGGGAGATAGAAACGGGGGGAGGGGGGGGAGAAAGGTCAGTGGGTGCGCACTAACTGCCAGCCTAGGAGGACACGCACCCCCCATAACTTTCAGCATTTGCTCCTTTGTAGTTTTGCTCTAGCCAAAGTCCACACCCCCCCTCCCCGAAACTGCTGTCCTTCTTTCTCCTCCACCAGGTAATCAAAACCCCCCACCGTCCAGACTCAAGTGCCACCTCCTCCAAGGAGCCTTCCCTTCTTAAACCACACTAAACCCTTTCTCCCTGCCCCGCCTCCAGCACCAAGTCAGAGCTGCTTTTTTCTAACCCCAGCCCCAAATTCTGCTCCTTCCACACAAAAGGCATAGCATAAATGCTGATGCGGAACTATTCAAAGGCTGCTAGTATTTTGTTGTTCTTAGCTGGCTGCATCTTATCTCCCCAACCAGATCCTCCAGGGCGGTACAGCCCAAACCTGGAGGGAAGGGTGGGATTACCTGTGGTTCAAAGGTATTTTCTTCAGAGCTTAAAGCAAGAAACAAAACCAAACCCTTGGAAACTTGAAAGTGATCTCAGTTAAACATTAAAGGCAGCCGCTCTTTGTTTAGCAAAATGAGGCATGCATTTAAAAGCGGTGCAAATCAGTAACCCAGACTGCGGAGGGGGAGGTGTCTCAGCCGGATTCCATCAGGTTCACCCCCCCCCCCCCCCAGCAAAGCCTGGCCTCAGGTGCTCAGCCAACATTCCAGCACCTGCGCCCTGCACACGGGTTCCCGGAGCATCCTCCCCAGGGCACTGTGTTCCTACCAGGGTCCTCGCTCCAACCCTGAGAAGGGGGCACAGCAGGGATGGGGGCCCGTGGCAGGCGGTGGGGAAGCTGAGGCCTGCTGAGATCCACATAACTACACAAGGTCACACAGTAAAGGTGCCAGGACCGAGCCCTGGTTCCCGACTCTCCAACGTCCAATGGATTGGCTGCTCAACTAAACACCCCTGAACGCACACCCACCCAAGCCTGAGACCACCAGCACCTCAGCCACCAAGGCTCCTGAAGAGCCAACACCCCCCCAACCCTGACCCCATAAGTCAGAACCCCCTGTAGGGCAATGAGGAGAGCCCCAGTCATGCCCCAGGTCCACCTGCCACCATACATCAGGAAAGCCTCCAGCGTCAGCCAGCCAGTCTGCACAATGGGGTCTCAGACACAACTTCTTCCTTTCCCCCCCACTGCCCTCAGCCCAGGGAGAAAAACAGACAACCTAGGGAACGGGCGGGGGGGACTCTTACCGCTGCGGCAGGCCCCACCCACAAGTCTGTCCCTGGGCTGGAGGGAAATGACATTTATAAAGACCGCCCATCAAAGTCCTTCCGGCCAATAATCTTGGCCTGGTCTGGTCCCTGGGCAGCCTCGGGAATCACCCCCATCAAACCCCTGATGGGAGGCCTCGCCCACCCGCGGAGGGGGTCCGAGGCCTGGGCCGCCCCCCACCCCCGTGTCTCCACCAAGTTCCTCCATCCCATGCCACTCACGCCCCTGCTCCTGTCTCCAGCGGTGGCTCTTTGCTTCCCAGTCGGCGCTGCCCAACGCAAAGGGGGTACCTCTCCCACAGCGACGCCCCCGCCCGCATAAAAACAGCAGGTTTCCCGCAGGCTGCTGTGTGAACCAAAGGAGTGTCTGACCTCACCTCACCCGACCCCCGCGCACAACCCTGAAATTCTTGGGGCAGGAGTGACCCTTGAGAAATAAGGTAAACTCCGCGTCGCAACCCCACCCCCCAAGAAAATACATAGACCGCCATCCAGCTGCCGCAACCCCACCCCCCAGGCTGCAAGCCCCGGCTGTCCAAGGGAATAAATGCAACAGCTCTCCCCGCGCCACCACACACACACACAGAACCACGCGACCCCGGATAAATACGAAATGAGGTGGCCGCGTTCCCACTCCCGGAAAGGACCTGCGCCGAGCAGCAAATACGGTAGCGCCCGCAGTGACCCGCCCTCGAGGGTCCAGCTCTGGCCTCGGCAATTACGGTAGGCTCCCGTGGCGGCCTGCGCGCCGGCCCAGCCCGGGACTCACATGGCGCCGCGTCCGGAGCCCTGGCTCTCCTCCGCCGCGCTGCAGCCGCCAGCGTCGCCGCAGCTTCACAGCAGCCCCGTGAGGCTGGGAGGTCTAACTCGCTCGCACCCTGGCTGGCGGAAAGAGGAGGACTGCTCAAGCGCCGGCTGCACCCGGCAGCAAAAGGAGGCCTGCAGGTGTGGCTGGCGGGACCAGGACGCGCCTGGGGCCATCACCCAGAGTCCTCCGGCCTGCCCTCCCACGAGGTCCCGAGGCCCCGAGGCCGTTAGAGCCTCGGGCTGTCGCCTCTCCGCAGGCAGAACCAGCCTGGCCTGGCCCATAATCCGCCCCAGGCGGCTGGAAGACCGATCACGGGCGAAGCCCCCCGGGGCTGGAGGTCTGATTTCATAGGAGGTGGGGGTGGGGAGGTGGAGGCGCTGGCAGTTTTGCCAAAGCCCACCTTACTGTAGGACTTGAGTTCTGTCACCAGGGTGGTTCTTCCACCATGGAGGAAGTCGGATACCTAACTGCCCCACCTACTGGGAACTGAGTCCATGATGGTCACGCCAAAGACGTCCTTGTGACGTCGGAGAACAGCTGCTAGGAGAGGGCGGGGCCAAATTCCAGTTTCCCATTGCAACGTAATAATATCCCTTATCTGTAAGAAACCTTGCCATCCATTGCCACGTGGTACGTTTCCAATAACCATGTGCAGGGCACCGCGCCGTAGCCGAGTGGATAAATTCCTCACCGTGAACGCACCAGAATCCCATATGGGCGCCGGTTCTAATCCCGGCAGCTCCACTTCCCATCCAGCTCCCTGCTTGTGGCCTGGGAAAGCGGTCGACTTGGGACTCTGTACCCATGTGGGAGACCTGGGGGAAGTTCCTGGCTCCTGGCTTCAGATCGGCACAGCTCCAGCTGTTGTGGTCACTTGGGGAGTAAATCATTGGACGGAAGGTCTTTCTCTCTGTCTCTCCTCTTGTGTGTGTATTTAACTTTCCATAATAAATAAATAAATCTTTAAAATAAATAAAGTCTGCCTTGCATTCACCAGGATACCACATGTCATTGGCCCGTAACCCGGCAGCTCCACTTCCCATTCAGCTCCCTCTTTGTGGCCTGGGAAAGCAGTCGAGGACGGCCCAAAGCTTTGGGTCCCTGCACCCATGTGGGAGACCCAGATGCAGCTCCTGGCACCTGGCTTTGGATCAGCTCAACTCCGGCCATTGCAGCTACTTGGGGAGTGAACCAGCAGATAGAAGATCTTCCTCTCTATATATCTGACTTTCTAATAAAAATAAATAAATCTTTTTTAAAAAATGCTCAGACTAGATTGGGCAGGAATTATTATCCCATTTTATAGATGGAAAAATAAAACTGGATCTCAGGGTGGCTTCTCCCAGGACCCAAAGCTCTAAGTGGGCAGGGACAGTCGAAAGGCAGGTCACCTGGGCTGGCTCGCTTCTGCACAGGATTTGACAGCAGTGACCACAAACAACAACCTGGGCTTGGCTGGGGCTCCAGCAGGAAAGTGATTTGCGCAGTTACAAGAGTCAGGGGAATATCAGGAAGCTTTGTCTGTGACCTCTGGTAAAGGGAGGAGTTGGGATTCCCCCAGGCCAAGGCATGTTCTTTCCACCAGGTAGCAGAGGTGACTTCCTTGGTGCTGGGCTTTGGGAGACCACAGGGGGCCTCCCGGAAGCCTGAGTGTCCACTCAGCTCTGCAGAGGCACCGTGTCCCACTGGGAGCCATGGGTTCCAAGTAGGGACCACATGGTGGTCTAGCAGGTCGAGCCTCTGCCTGCAGTGTCAGCATCCCAAATGGGCACAGTTAGGGTCTCAGTTGCTCCACTTCTGATCCAGCTCCCTGCAAATGTGCCTGGGAAAGCAGCAAAAGATGACCCAAGTCCTGGGACCCCTGCACCCATGGGAGAGACCCTGAGGGAGCTCCTGTCTTCAGCTTGGCCCAACTCTGGCTATTGTGGCCATTTGGGGAATGAACCAACAGACCAAAGATACTTCTCTCTCTCTCTTAACTCTGCCTTTCAAACAAATAAAAATACATTACAAAAATAATAATAATAATAATAATTCCAAGTGAGGCCAGCCACTAGACAGTAAATTCAGACCTTTGTGCCTGCCACCAGACCTGGAGGTAAGTGCTGGCCACTGTCCCAGCCGACCCACCCCCCACACGTGCCCATCAGCAGTGCTCCCATGGGGCATCGTTGAGGTAGGTGGGGCTTCCTGAATCAGACATTTTGAGGAGATAGGCATTTTTAATAGAGGCCCAAGACATGAATTCATCCATCCATTTACCCCAAGGCCAAGTTTGAGATTCCCCTGGCGTTGACAACAGGACCTTTCGACTAAGAAGGCCAAGCCATGACCACCCACCAGGAGCTTCCCACTACTCCTGCAGTAGCATCCAGCGTGCCTCTCTCCTGGGGGCAAGAGAGAGGGGGACACGGAGTGGAGACGAGGTTTTCAAAAGCAAAATCAAGAATATATCTGAGGATGTCAGCTGTATATTTGCAGCATTTTCTAGGTAGGCTGTGCCAAAATACAAAGGGAATGCACACAGCTGGCAATGGCAGTGGCAGACAGCACCCCCCCGGGGCGCTCCCTGTCTCAGCGGGGAAGACCTCAGGCTCCCAGAGGCCTCTGTCCTTGGC